GATGTTTTTCATTTGTAGACGTGCTGCTCTTTTTTTAGCGATCCGCGCCTTCACATCTGCATTCGATCCATCGTGCAAATCAATGATGCTGCCCAAATATGTAACGGTTTTTACATCTTCTAAATCTTCTCCGTCATGTGTGAATCGATTGGTGCATGCTGTGTTGTATTGGAGAATCTTAATTTTCCCTTTGTGTATGTTGCGATCTACTGCTGCTGAGGCTGCTGGTATACTGGTTGTCTTCTACTGCATTTGGTGTCACGTGTGCGGTAGGACGGCCAGATCATCTGCAAAGTCCAGATCGTCCAACTGCATCCTAGAAGTCCACTGTACCCCACTCTTCTCCAGATGTTGACGTCTTTATGATCCACTCGATCACCAGGTGAAAGAGGAAAGGTGAGAGTAAGCAGCCTTGCCTGACACCGGTCTTTACGTCGAACGAGTCTGTCACTTGTCCTCCATGCAAGATTTTGCAGTTCAATCCATCATAGAATTCCGTATGATATTGACTATCTTCTCAGGCACGCCGTAGTTGCGAAGAAGCCTCCTTAGTGTTGTTTTGTCCACGCTATCAAATGCTTTCCCGTAGTCAATGAAGTTGATGTAGAGCGATGAATTCCATTCAATTGATTGTTCCACAATGATCCGTAGTGTTGCGATTTGGTCTGTATACAATCTATCCTTACGGAATTCAGCCTATTGGTCTCGAAGTTGGGAGTCTACAGTATCCTTCATTCTATTTAAGAATACCCTGTTGAAGACTTTTTCTGGTAATAACAGAAGAGTGATACCTCTGTAGTTAACACATTTGTTGAGATCGCCTTTCTTTGGCATTTTGATCAGGTGTCCTTCTTTTCAGTTTGTTGGTACTTGTTGTTCATCCCAAATCTTGCTGAAGAGAATATGAAGTATCTTTGCAGTTACTGCTACGTCTGCTTTCAGTGCCTCTGCTGGAATGTTATCTGTCCCCTTTGCTTTGCCACTCTTAATTTGTCTGATGGCCTGAGTGAAAATTATACCCCAATATACAGCAATCGTTTAGTGAATAAACCAATAAATATTGAAACATGTCGAGTAAAACATTCACTGAACACTAAAAACTTTAACCAGTTATTAGATTGAATAATTTTAAATTGCTATATTAATATTTATAATGTTAGATAATTGGAAACGAAGCGGGAAAATGTATCCCTCTTTAATATATATATATATATATTTCACATTTGTAGGTAATAATTAAACTCCCCCCTGTAGCTCTCCTACGGTAACTGCTAGTCCAAAGTCCGGGTAAAGGAGGGGGGTTAGTCACGGGGTCAGCAACTCCATACCATAGAAAACTATCACGCTAAAAAAACGCTAACAAGAATATGGGAGGCCAATGCTCCTATACGTGGAGTAACAGGCGCAAGTAAGTAAGTAAGTAAGTAAGTGAGTAAGTAAGTAAGATATTCACCAAAACAGCTTATTTATCATATCACCTCAGAAACACTTTATGTTGCGATCGAATTTTTCACTGTATGATTATGTTGTATAGGTGAGTGTTCACACTGTATATACATATATATTTGATATGTTTAGTCTGAAATATTTTGATGGTATCTAATGATTGTCCATGAATAGTCTGATTTTATTTGATTTTAGAAACTATATTACGTGAAAATAAAAAAAAAGGAAGGTATCTCTCTAAAGGTGTATCCAGTTACTACAAATGAATTGAAGAGGCTGAAAAAAAACAAAAATAATAACTAACCACTAACTACTCACAACGATAGCCTATATAAATCATATTGTACTCAATCACATATAAATTGCATGAATTTATTGAGTATGATAGTTTTCTAATGAATTCTATTGAATAAATTGACTAGAATAGATTAGACTATGCATGTTTTGTTAGTAGAGAGTATTGTTTTTTAGATAGATGAGATATATCATAGATTGATCTAAAACTAGACGATTGTTTAGAACTAGAAAACACTAGATAAGTGATTCTTTCTAGTATTGGAATATACACAACAATGTGTATTTATCATTCTATTAGGGAATGAATTTATTCATTTGTTTTAACACATAGATATTGGTACAAGGAGGCATCAAATACATATGCACCACACAAATCTCGTTTGATATGTGTGAGGGTTGTGATACTGCCCAGGTGCCCGAACCGAAGCAGGTGATTTTCTCAAGGGGCTACACCCCTCTCAATTTCGTAAAAAACATCCCCTCCACGAGAAGGCAGTGAGTGGAACTCCCCTAGCATGAGCTACATACGCGTGGCCAAGTGAGAGCAGTTGGAGAGGGAGAGCGGACTATCCCCACTCTTGGCCGTACCAGGGCATTTGGGGGCTGAGAATTAATCTAGAACTTTTATTTCTTGCTATGATCATTTAATCTTTTGATCACTGAGCAGGAATCCCAATAATTAACACTTTTAATTTCAATTACTTATCGATACTATGCTTGTAATTGAGTAGTTTTGAGAGAGATAATTCTCACAGTTTGTCGATTTGCGTAGGACATACATTATGCAAAACATTAAACTGCATCACGAGGTAAGACATAACTTGGAATCCTAAAGAGAAGCAGAAATGAGGAAGATCAACAAACACATTACATTGGGAAATAGAAGCAGATATAAAAAGGATGAATAACAACTGGAAAGAACTGGGAAGGATTGCCTAGGACAAGGTTGAATGGAGAGTGCTGGTGAACAGCCTATGCTCCTCCACCAAGAGTAACAGACGTAAGTAAGTAATATAAGTATTTCTCACAGTTCTAATGAAAATCTGTAATCAGTAGAATGTAACCATGTCTATATTATTTAGGAAACTAAATTGTAACTTCTTTTTAAAACTCCTCCTTATAGGTTTATATACTACTAGTTAATAGTCAGTAGATTGTATATCAATGTCTTTTAATGGATTTCAATTCTCTGAGCTGAATGGTTTAATTATGAAACTCTAATTGTTTGTCTGAACAGCATTGTCAGAATGAACTCTGGATGGAAAGAAACAAAAATGAAAATTCCCCCTGTTTTCCAGTATATAAAGTGACAATAAGATTAAAGGAGACAAGTATTTGATTCACAGACAACTTCATTATTGCTATGAAACTGTCATGCACCATACATGTTGGCATGTATGTTTTGAAATGATTATGAAACGTTTTAGCACAGATAGATATTTTGTTGGTAATATTGAGTGATTTGATGATGAGACGTTTGTTTTCATTCTGAATAATATCATATAAGGGCTTACTGAGAGTAGAAGTGACACTAATATTCTCCAAGTATTAAATCAGTTGATTTGGATGAACTTATTTCTAAATGGTTGTTTTCATGAGTACCTTAATTCCTTCTGGGGTGTTTTTTTCCAGTTGACTTCTGATCATATTGTTGGCTAACCTTTACCGTATGAATTGATAAATCGAATCTATATTGATATATCTGTTGACTGTAGAATGATATAAATGCCACTCTTTCACAAATCCTTTATCATGATTATAATTTCAATCGGTGATAATGCAGCACAACCTCGCATGGAGCCCCTCTGCGGCTACTGCCGGTCCCAAGCCTGAATAATGCAGGAGGGTTGCGCATAGGGTTGGCGACCCCATTCGGTAGAAAACTAACTCGGTAAAATAACGCTAACCAGAAACAATAATTCAAACCACTTCAACTCTTTCCTGGGAGTTATAAGGTCTTCATTTAGAAGAGTTATGACGCTTCATGGTGAAAGCCGAGTTCCTTCGGAAGTAATGAAACAGATGCCTCTTCTGACAACCATAGCAACTATTTAGGCCCATGACAGAGTGGGTTGGAGAATGCTGGTCGGTGGCCTATGCTCCACTATGAGTAACAGGCATAAGTAAGTACATGATACATTTTCACAACTGATTTATGTTTTTGTGTACACAGGTGTCGGAGTAGTTCATTTCTGTAAGTTTCTGAATATATTCCAGAATGTACTCAACATTTATCGACCCTTTACTCCATTTTTTTAAGACACACATTTGAAAGATATAATAAAATTAGGTGATTCACTTACGGTAATCTATTTTCAGACAATTAAATCAATATAAATATGCCCAAAATCAATGATATCACTCAAGTAGCTAGGTGGTCATCATTTATATATAAATATATATATATATATATATATCTTATTAAAATTGGAAGGACTAATATCCCAATTCTAGTTTTCAATGTGACATTCATTTCCTATCAACAATTACCTACAAACTACTACCGTCCAATACGTCCAACTTTTCCATGGTGGTCTAACTTCAATTGACACATGATCTGAACTATTGAAATTACTAACAATACCAACAAAGAAACCCCTTCTGATATTCAACTACTATTTCCCAGCATAAAAAAACTAGAATTAGATATATCAAACAGAAAATTCGAATACTTCTCGTTTCTCTGTTTACTTATCAATCATAGGACTACAAATATTATTATTATTATTGTGTCAAACTGTGCTTCATTATCAGTTAAAGTTATATTGATTATTATTATTATTATTATTATTATTATTATTATCAAAAGGGGGTGTTTTGGAGATTTTAGTAATTTCAATAGTTGAAATCATCAGTTAATTGAAACTAGACTACCATGGAAAACTTGGAAGCACTAGACGGCAGTGAACAACAGCAAGTCTGAGATGCAGGTACGTCCAAATAGGATGAAACGCGCATCAAGCCAAATTCCATTGCTAACCACTATCCATTTTTGCTTATAATGCCTGTGAATTAAGGCAATATTGAGATCATATGCACAGTATGCACATATGTCAATAAGAGACTGTTCAATTCTAGTCCTAAACATCAATGGGAAGATACCTGTGAACAATACCAAATGAATTTAGTCTTTTCGAACACCTAAACTAGTACAGAATTATTCTACAATTGACACCATTATTACCTAGTTTTTTTTTGTCATTTCACTCTTTTACCACAAAAATATCCCTCCCCGCTCCACCCGAAAAACAAATATCTATCAATAACACAAGTGTTACCTTTTTGTCAGTTCAAAAAAAAGATCAATTATTTATTGGACAGGCATGAATAAGGTATCCAAAGCAAAAAAAGTACATATATTTTCTTTTAAAGAATACTGTAGGTAAACACTAATGTGAACTTGTTTTATTGTTAAACTAAAAACAAAACAGGGGGGGATGGGTAAAGCGAAAATAAATAAATAAACTTATTTAATTAGTAGTATTATTCTTGTAACCATCTAAAGTGTTCCCATGCAATTTGTCATTATTATTATTATTATTACTGTGATTAGAAAAGACAAATACATATGTATATCAATTAATGTTAATGATGTATTTAGTAACCATGGGAAGATTCTTTTCTTTTATCATTATTCTTGTTGAACATAGAAATTCTATGTGTAAACATCAATTTTTTTCAGAGTGCAGTATTCTTTCTCATGAAAACAAAACAAGTAAACTAATTGTAGTGTTTTTTAAATGAAGAAAAGTGTGCACATATTACTTCGAATATATCAATGAAGGGTGAGATAATGTTCAAAATAGTGTTCTACAAAAAAAAAAGGGAAACACAAGACTATCACATTCGTTAAATGGGTATCGAACAAACAGATCAGTAAGGGTAAGGTGGGTGTTTTTTTTCTCAGGCTAAATTGAAGATGAAATAGAACGAAGAGAAGATAGTGATAGCCTTTTTATTCGATCGGCTTCCACTAGTAAAGAACTGTATACATTAAAGCTGAAAAGTATTCATAGGGGAAAATGTTTCTGTAATAAAAAATAAGGATTGAATATGGTGAAAAGCACTTCAAACAAGGGTTGATGGAGTAGAGAGACTATATTAACACATAAAAAAGAACAACTTTAAACAACCAAATGGTACACATACACAAATATAATAAGAATATCAATTTCAATCAGAATTAGATTGATATCAATTAGAATCAAGGAGAAACAGGTCAATTACAATGTAGCATAGTATCGATTAGTTTCATGTAGACACTTCATTATATATTATAATCCCCGAGTTAATAAATGAGTACCAGACTTTCCAGGTGAATCAAGATCAAATCTTTGCTCTCCAGATGGTGTAATTGTTTGCGGTGGTGAAGATGATAATGATTTACGATCAAGGTGTATACCAATTGTTAATTCATAAAGAATTGCCCCTATCACTGCACCAATATATGGACCTAATATAGGTACCCAAAAGAAATAATTCCCTGAAGTAAATGCTGAACCACCCCAACCTATAGACAAATAAGAATGAACAGATTGGATATTAAATCAACAGAATAAATAATTTATTTTCTAATATACATATAAACACACAATTAAACTATGCGATAATCATCGACCTTCGATATGCAATTAGTTGACATAAGCCAATCCTAACTGGTGATCCATCAATTCATTGATGTGGAATTGATTGGTAGAATGAATAATTGGCTATTATCAATGCGTATAAAAAATAACTCATATGTATACACTATCCTGGTGGGACTATAGACGGATTAATCAGATTGTGGATAACAGGTCTTCAATTTTAGGGCAAAATTCATTCATCTGTTTGGCTAACTGTAGCCTTTTGACAGCTTAACTGATGTTAGTTTGTGATGAAACCAAGAAATCTAATAATTCCTAACTCTTATTATCAACTGTAAATCATCATTCTAATTCATCACACTGGTTTCTAATCATTATTTAGTCCTAGTTAGTAGGTGGACATTGTGAAGATCACTTAATCGTCGTTCAATGATCGTCCATAAATTATAATCTCACCAAAATATAGATTCACATAATTAGTGAAACAAGAGATAGTAGATTGACATAAACACAACAATAGACAATTTGTAATAAAGAGAAAATAAGAGATCATTCAATTGGTAGTTACAGAAATAAACAAAATAAGTATATAATTCAAGAGATACTTCTGGAGTTCTAGTGAGAAGCCGTTACCAGTGGAGTTCAACCAGGTCTGTTATGAGATATCAATTCACTGAAGACAATGGTGTACGGTGGCGCAACTTCGTGGATTGGTTGGAGTTAGACATTAACACCATTGGATGCCGGCTCAGTGGTCTAGTTGGTTAAGCGCCTGGTGAGAGACTGATAGGTCCTGGGTTCGAATGTCGCCGGGTGCGGGATCGTGGATGCGCACTGCTGAGGAGTCCCATACTAGAACGAAACGACCGTGCAGTGCTCCCAGGTTTTCCATGGTGGTCTAGTTTCAACTGACTCATGATTCCAATCTGTGAAATCTCTAAAATCTTCACAAACCCCTTCTGATAATATACATTAAGAGTTCAATTGATAGATAGATAGATAGATAGATAGATACACAAAATAAGACTACTGGATCACTATGCTATTTTATTAATTATAAGTAGTGACACTATAAATTTATGGACGAGCTTTGAGCGACGCTAAACTGACCTTGAGAGTGTTCAGCTAATAACTAGGACCACATGAAGATTATAAACCTGTGTGATAGTTAGGGGTTAGAAATTAAACTCCGAGTTTTCATCACGAACTGATATCAGCTATAACGCCAAAACTCTATTTATCCAAATGATTGAGTGAATTTCGTGCGAAAATCCGACACTTATTATCTTATACATGATTGGTTCGTCCATAAGTTGTAGTTTCGCCTGTGTCAGTATGATAACAAATACATCTGTTGACTTGATAATAACTGGACAATATTGAAGCTCTAGATTTAACATGTTTATAACAAGAGTTTATTCCAAGTTGAAATATGAGTATATTTGGTTCGTTTATATTGACAGAACATAGAGAAAGGTTACTCAAACTACTTGACAAGTAACAGCTGAGTCATTCTTTGTATAAAGTGAACTATATGCCGATTTTCAATAACCAATTAGGATATACATGACATATACACACATACCCACATATAAGATAAACATACATAAAACTCACATGATATAAGGTCACAGATAAAAAAGTACTTACGAAGATCTTAAAGTACTTGATCAGATTACAATGACACATTTAATGGCTGAACTAAATTGGGCTACCTAGGCATGTGTGATAGGAACTGCTACAAGTATATTTTTAAAAGAAGAGATCTGACAAATTTAGTTGTTATCAGAAGGGGTTTTGTGGAGATTTTAGTAATTTCAATAGTTTAAATCATGAGGCAGTTGAAGCCAGACCACCATGGAAAACCTGAAGGCACTGCACAGCCATTTCGTCCTAGTATGGGGCTCCTCAGTGCTTCCACGTTTTCCATGGTGGTCTAGCTTCAATTGACTCATGATTTCAACTACTGAAATTTAGTTGTGAATACCGTACAATAGTCCAGATTAAAGGAATCATGAGTATTAACGATGGTATTGTATACCTTCAGATTAGTAAATTAATTAACCATCCTGATTTTAATAAAATGTTTAGTCTACACTAACATTAAGTTCCCTATTTAACCTTAGTGGAATAAAACTAGTGGTGAGATTATAATTTATGGGCAATCTTTGAACAATGATAAAGTGGTTTTCACAATGTCCACCTACTAACTAGGACTAAATAATGATTAGAAACCAATGTAATGAATTAGAATGATGATTTACAGTTGATAATAAGAGTTAGGAATTATTAGATTTCTTGGTTTCATCACGAATTAACATCAGTTAAGCTGTCAAAAGGCTACAGTTAGCCAAACAGATGAGTGAATTTTGCACCAAAATTCAAGACTTGTTATCCTAAATCTAATTAATTCGTTCATAAATTATAGTCCAGCTAACGTCTCTGTCAACTTTTCTAATTAAATGAATCAATAGTGTTTCGAGGTAACTAAGTACTATGAAGTAGTGTAGAACGGTAATCTCGGAAATCATATCAAGATTAAGGTAAACCTCAATCAATTTAAGATATTTCACCACAGTATAGGGGTTGTGGAAATTGTTAAGTTTTGATTGAGATCATGAACTGATTGTTGTTAGACCACCATTGAAAACCTGGAAGCACTGGACGGTTGTTTCGTCCTATTGTGGGATTCCTCAACAGTGCGCATCCACGATCCCGCTCACTGGATTCCAACCCAGGGCCTTCAGACTTGCGCGCGAAGGCTTAACCTACTGGACCACTGAGCTGTCCGGCATCCAATGGTGTTAATGTCTAATCTCGACCAATCTACGAATTTGCGCAACCATTTTCCATTGTACTGAGGTAGACACCTATTTCTACCCGACACACATTAGCTCCACTGGTCACGGCTTCTCACCAGAACTCCGAGAATTTTCTCAAAAAGCTAGTCACTAGGGAGCACATGACACGCGATAGGACGAAACGGCCGTCCAGTGCTTCCAGGTTTTCAATGGTGGTCTAACATCAATCGGTTTATGATCTCAATCAATATTTCACCTCATTGAATTGTAGTTAAGATCCAAGTAATTTAGACATCTTTATGGTATTTTAGAAAAAAACTTCATTTAAAAGACTCTACTATTAATTGTAAATCTAAAAATATTACATTGAAATACTCAGTGTAAAGTGTAAACATTCTGATTATTTCAGTAAGTGTTGCACGTTAAAAATCCTGAATTTCACGGCGACATCTGTTATCATTACTGATGGTGGCTTCTATGTACAATGATAAGTGCCCAAAATCTGTGAATGGATTTAGAAAGAACAAATGGCATATCAACTAATTGTTGGTCACCGGCTACCATGGGACTGCATCTACAGACGTTGCTCCACTTCCTTGTGTATTAGGTCTTTAGGTCAAAGTCTCGGGGAGTGGCTCACTAAGAAAACCACCTGCTTCGGTCTGGACACCCGAACAGTATCACAGACCACTCACAAATCAAGTGACTCGTGTGGCGTATATGTATGTGTATTCGGTGCCCCTTTATACCAATATATTTATGTGTTCAAATAAATGAATGAATAAATCAATAAATAAGTGTGGATATTAGTATTTTATCAAACAGTGATTAGCACGGAAATATTTCATTTATATCTCGTCTATTGTTGATAATTGCAGATCAACAAACAAAGTCCTTGATAATTATGACAATCTAACAATCCTTGAAGTTAAACATATACACCATTGAATTATACCAAATGGTCCCGAGGTTAAACGTTAACGTGAAAGATCAAACATCCTAAATCTAACCCCTAATTTCAGAGTTATGTATACACACGGCAACTGAAGAGTCTCATTCTAGGACAAAACAATCATCTAATGCCTTTTAGTTTCTTATGGATATGTAACTAAAGTTAGTTTGTGACATAAAACAATAAAAGCTATGAGTGTTTACCAGGTTAACCAGTCTGATAAAAAGAAAACTAGGTCTTGAGGTTTGTACGAATAAACCCTTAAAATCTCAAATTTTTCTTATTTATTAATGCCATAAAATATATTTGGTTTTATGGTAAATTCCAGAAACATCATAAATCCCTTTCAACATACGAATAGGACTGAAATAAGGAAATTTTAAAAGATAAATCAGATCATTCACTTGCTATATGTTTGTCTGAAACATAAAAATGAATAGTCGATCAGATCATTGTCACAAAGATAAACTAAAGTTAAGATAACCAAAAATAAGAATAATTTATGACATATTCACAGCCAATAGTTGGCAAGCCCTAACCTGGAATCTTGAAGGGAAGCAGAAATGAGGAAGGCCAAAGAACACATTACATCGGATAATAGAAGCAGATATGAAAAGGATGAATAACAACTGAAAGGAGCTGGAAAGTATTGCCCATGACAGGGATGGAAGGAGAGTGCTGTAGGGCGGCCTATGCTCCTCCATGAGGAGTAACAGGTGTAAGTAAGTAATCCATTGGAAATTAGTTTATTATTACTTAACACTGATGTAAGTTATTCAGAATACAGTTAAACAATCAATCAAATTTACAGCTCACTCCTTAATCTAACCTACACAAATAATCGAAACTGTAGGAAGCATTAATTCTGACCAGAATATTCATTACATCACTTGGAAACATACTCACCCACTAGATCTCTTTCTCTCTTGCGCACGCACACACGCACACTCAAATTATTTCACTTGCCACCATACATAAACCAACATCAGCACCTGTAGCTGAAACCAACTGACCCATTTGTGAAACTTATATTTGGATCAGCATTAGCGAAAGTTAAGGATAGCTTTCCAAAGGAAGAACAACAGGATGTCGTCTATGAGATTAACTGTCATTATTGTAATGCAGTTTATATGAGATAAACGTCTAGACAAATGAATGTGAGTTTGAAAGAACGCAAGCAATATTTGAAAAGTGTTCCCAAATCCTCGCTTGATCTGAAGAAACTTGAGGATAGATCAGTGGTTGCTAAAGCGGTTGCAAGGATAGTCAAATTTTATTAGGAACGATAACCGCTCGCATACTTTCTACCAATTCGATTTTCCGCATAACTTTTACCCTATGATTGTTTGTCATGTTTAGTTCGCTAAATTGCTACATGCCCGAAGGTCATATTCTACTATTATACTAACAACTTTTGTACCAATTTCGTTTGAGTTGCTTGTTCTACCGCAAATATCAAGTTACCTGCAATTCCGTTTTCTTCCTGTCTTAGCCGTCAACGTTTGATATGTTAAGTATAATTGACTGTTTTCGGTTCCGAAGAGAACCTATCGTATTAGAAACGCTCAATCATTTTCGTTCCTAAATCCGTAACATCGTAGGCCGTACTGAATCCTAATAACAAGACACAGCAATGACAGCTTTACACGCGTTAAAAACAGAACACAAGATCAATTTCGAAAGGACCAAAATATTTCAGAAAGAGTTTGGCACACATAAAGAAAAACCGACAGTAGAAGTATTCTATGTATAGGCTAATAAGAACAGCCAAAACAGAAAAGATGATATTCAAGTAGCTACCACATGACAAATGTTCATTAACAAGTGATTGGACGCTATCTCTATCCAACCTGTTTATTTCAGATGTATCATTATCCTAACAGAAATTAATTGGGATATTTCAGCACTACAATTATGCATTTGATGGTACTTATTCTACATATACATTGACGTTTCAAAAACATATTCCGCCTTTGTACTTAACACCTAATATAAACTATCAAATAACTCAATCATACACACACACACAGTCATTCATTCATTTATCTTCACATTGTGAACTATTCATATGATTTGCATATAACTAACTCATGTTATCCTACTTACTAGAGTGTAAGCACAGTAAAGATTAGATTTGATTACCAAAACATCATTGGTTTCATTGATAATTTTGATTTTGATGGTTACCCTGAAGAAGTTCAGACAAGTTTGTTGGACGAAACGTTACAATTATTTATATTTCAATCGATGAAATTATTTAAAATATAATTTTCACAAATAATATCTTCTCTATATTCAATGCTCAATTTCTGTCAAGTGATTCGTTTTAATATTGTACAATAGTCCTAGAAACAAACGATCTGTTGACTCATCAACAACAACCACTCATGAACGCATTCACAATTCATATTTTCAATCAACAGACTCCATTACGTCAATGATAAACAAACACGTCGTATCCACTAGGAATCTCAGTAACAAACACATATATATACACACACAAAATAAAATACAAAAATCATAGTTTGTCCAGTGAATGGAAAAAGGAGGAAAAAATCTGTTCTCGTGATACCGTCGCCTACGTCATAGTAATCAACATTTACAACGTAATCTAGCCTAATAGTGACAATAACAATGATCGGTAGTGAACAATAACATTCCCAAAAATTCTCTACACAAACCATAACAACCACATCTAATTCATTATATTCATTAGGTATTTGATAAACATGACACTAATTCACTAATCGTTCATTAACTTTCAAGTAAAAAAATAACATGGATTCCAACGGAATACACATCACAAGAGCACAGTCAATCGTGTGGTATTACATCGATTTCTGTCACTTTCTGATACACTGAATCGATATGTGATTGATACTTGTGCTTTTCTCTATTCTCAACTACCATTCCACATTTCACATTCCTCTGTATATCTTGTAGTAAATTACAAAGTGAATTTGTTGATCGTACACTGATCAGCTTAGTTTGTCCGTTAACCAGTCAGTTTTTCGTTAAATCAGTAATTATCTGTTGCTATCTCAGACATTTTGTAAATAGTAATTTTAATGGGATTCTTAGTACGTAGTATTAGTAATCATTATAATAAGAACATCAAGATAATCAGATTATTAAAACAAAAACTAAACTTACCACACATCAGTATCATTAGTCGAGGTCCTAAATCACGAGCTGGATTTAATGCAGCTCCAGCATTCAATGCAAAACATCCAACCAAAGCATAAACTAGAAAGGCTAAATGTAGCGGGTGTAAATAATCTGGAAGTTTCCATCCATTACGATCAGTAATAGCTAATGCTCCTGCTGCTAACAATGCAGTACCAAGAACTTGATCAAGGAAACATGTTAAATGTGATGCTCCAGGATTTGTTACAAATATACCACCTGTTGTCTTTACTATAAAACTTCCATTTTCACGAGTTACAGCATATTCATGAATTTTCTCATAATAAACACCATATATAACAAGAGAGCCAACAAAAGCTCCTAAAATTTGACTAATAGTATAAAGTGGTACACGTCTAAGTGGAAATTTTCCAATTAATGAAAATGCTAATGTAACAGCTGGATTAATATGTCCAGAACCACCACAACCAGAAAATATAACACCCATATAAACAGCAAATCCCCAACCCAAACTAATTGATAAAAATCCACCATGTGCTTGTTTACCATGATCACCTAAAAATGTTTGAGCTAATACACCAGTACCAAATATTAATAATATTGCAGTACCACAAAATTCGGCTAAACATGCTCTAATAAATGGATATGTAGTTAAACGAATTTTATCAGCAATTAAATGTTGTTTACGTTCTAATCTACCTTCAAATGTATCAGTACGACCCATGAATAATGAAATTCTTTTAATAATATGAATACGTATCTATGAATTAGATTGTTTTCTAATGAAGAAAGTAGTGTAGTGTAGTTTGTCAAGTTAAAAGTGAATGCTTTTTTACAATTTATTTGTTATTATATTTAGAAAAGTGAAAAATACAAAAAAAAACTGTTTAACAGAGAAATTTGATTGGTTCTCACTTTTAACCAATCATATTGTTAATTCTATTCCCATTCTATGATAAGATGGCCAAATGATCATTTTTAAATTGACCAATTAGAATGTAGATTATAAGGTCATTCTATATTTTTTTTAAAAAATAAAAAAATAAAAATGCTGAATGGTTTAATAATTCAATTTATATGTGGGATAAAATACGGATATTTCTTTGTTGTTACTTACTTACTTACTTACGCTTGTTACTCCTAATGAAGCATAGGCCGACGACCAGCATTCTCCAATACACTCTGTTCTGGGCCTTCTTTTCTAGTTCCATCCTATTCTTGTTCATTTTTCTCATGTCTATCTCCATTTCCAGGCGTAATGTGTTCTTTGATCTTCCACTTCTCCTTTGGTCTTGAGGATTCTATGTGAGAGCTTGCCTTGTCACACAGTTGGGAGCTTTCCTCAAAATGTGTCCTATTCACTTCTAGCACTTCTTCCTGATTTCTTCCTCCGCTGAGATCTGGTTTGTTCTCTCTCTCAAAATAGGTTGTTTCTGATAGTATCTGGCTGATGTATCAGAAGTGTTTTGCGTAGACAGTTCTTAATAAACACATATCTTCTGGATGATAGCTTTTTATGTTCTCCGAATTTCCGCCCCATACAGTAGAACTGTGTTGACATTTGTATTGAAAATCCTGACCTTGGTGTTGGTTGACAGACAGTTGTTTTGAGTTCCAGATATTCTTCAGTTGTAGATACGCTGCTCTTGCTTTTCCGATGTTGACCTTTTTTCATACTCAAAAGTGTTGATGCGCCCTCATTCATTATGATCTTTCTTTTCATTCATGAAGTTACATTTAGAATCAATTACTGTTTATTTAACTTCGTCTGTAACTCTGCTAGAGTTACTGCCGGTTCCAAACCCGGGTAAAGGAGGAAGGTTGAGGATGAGGTTGGCGATCTCATCCCGTAGAAAACTAACTCGGTAAAAAGAAAAACCCTAACAACACTGTTTACTTAGTAAGTAATCCATTAAGTAATTTCTAAAATCTAAAGGATATATTTGAATATAGCTATTGGAGATTTTATTTAGAAGTGGATCGAATTATACTTGTATCTTTGGAGTTATTGTACTATAGAATTATTTACTTTTGAATTGAACATTATATGGCAATATGTTTCCTATTTTACTACAGTTTATAGGTCAAAATGAGAACAATGAGCCCCCAAATGCCCTGGTACGGCCGAGAGTGGGAAGAGTCTGCACTCCCTCTCTAAATGCTCTCACATGGCCACGCGTATATAGCCTCTGCCAGGGAAGTCCTACTCACTGCCTTCTCGTGATGGGGGTGTTGTTTACGAAAGTGAGAGGAAGAAAAGCAAATGTCCGATAGGAGCTTTGACCGGGTTGAGGGACACGGAGAGTCCACCTAGGGGAGTTGGAAAACCCTCATTCCAAACCAATGGTGCACATGGGATCCAGCATCCTGAAGGAACAAATGGCGTATGAAACAATCGTTGGTCACCGGCTAACATGGAACTGCATCTCCTTACGTTGCCCCACTTCCTTGTGGATCAGACCTTTAAGTCGGAGGTTCCGGGTGTGGCCTCCTAAGAAAACCACCTGCTTCGGTTTGGGCAATCAGGCAGTATCACAGCCCTCACACATATCAAATGAAATCAGTGTGACGCATATGTATTTGGTGTTGTAACGGGTGGATTGCACGGTTCTGACAAGCAGTGTTTTATCGATCGATTCAGTGACACGTAAAACACGTAAGGATGACCTAGAGTCCCGATTGGTCCCGCTTCCCTGTCTAGCCCAGCCAGTTGAGTTTAGAACGCAAGTCACAGCCTCTGAGTTATGAATCATTGTATTTCAGACATACTCTATTTATATACTAACCAAACAGACCACATCGTACCATGAAAATAGAAAACAACATTTGTACAATATTTAACGAATGAAATAAATAATTGCTAATAGGGAATGCCCATTTAGAGTCCAAGGACATCATTAGACTTAACATGATAATGATTGATATATTCCTCAGCATACCTAGCATTTGGTGCCTCCTTGAAATGAAAACTTAAAAGGTTTAAGCTATGAATCTAATCACTATAGTATAACTGGTATGAATCTGGACTGCCAACTATCCAAATTTCTCTCAGTTACCAGTCATGTATATCAAAGGTCTCGTAAAAATAGAAATAGATTGTCAGAAAACTAAGGACACCCGAACCATGAAGTCATGGACTGTTAAGTTAAGACACGGTAACGGCGATCAATGGTCAGGCATGTTGGTTGACACGTTTTATAGTCAGTCACAGTAGAGTAATTGCATCCAATCTGTCTCTTCTCCTAGACAGACCCATAAAGTTCGAGGAGTCCTTCAAGTGGATAACGTCTGTCAACTACCGGTTGATCGTGATTCATTTATTGATTCGTTGTTGATTGACCAAGTCACACTATAAACAATTCTATGAAATATGCTAGTTCATATCATACAAAACCATGTAACGGAGTGTTTCGTTAATAAAAGAAAAATACCAAGCTAAGATTTGATTCAAAAAATGGACCAGGAATTTATTATTAAGGTGTTAAAACAGTACGAAAAATGGACGATTTATACAATGCGTTGTCAGACTAGAAAGAAATCTAACAGAATCATTATCAGTATCATGAATGGATCAATTCTGGACTACCATTGAAAACCTGGAAGCACTGGAATGCCATTTCGTCCTCAGCAGTGCACGTCGTCGGTCCCGTATGCGGACCAGAATCAGGACCGTCGGGGTTGCTTTCGAGCGTTTTGACTCTAGACGACTGGACCGGCACCAAAAGTTGTTAATGTTTAACTTCAACCAATCCACGAAATTGTGCGACTGTCCACCATTGTCTTCATTGAGTAACTGCCTCAACAGAAACAGTTGAACTCCACTAGTCACAACGTTTCACTAGAACATCTAGAAATCCAACTTAAAGGTAGTCACTAGTGAACATGATATCAATCTAAACTTAACAATCTCTACAACCCCATACTGAAAATCATTATTTTCACACTAGAATAAAGTAATAACTATTAACTAAAATGATTCTCTAGGAGATGTACTCTTCTAGGAATTAGACTCCATCCCTACAAATAACACTGACGATTTCTTTAATTAACAAACAATTAATATCATGACAGATTAGAATTATAATCTCCACGTCTTCGGTTTATTTAGCAAATAGTTGTAAGTGAGATTACCATACAATTGTTCGTATTACATCATCTTTTAAACTTGTTAATTGGAAATAGTGGTCTTTACACTCATGATTATTAAAATATGTTAACCTGTGATTATATAGAACAATCATTATCTCAAATTATAAATATCATGATTATTATGAGGGAACTAATATCCCCAAACTGCATATAGTAATAATAATCATATGCTCACGAGTGATGTTGTAAAAAGTAGTTCCTGGAGTTCTGGCGAGAAATCATGATCAGTGGAGTTCAATTATATCCGGTTTGTTGTAGTTATTCACAAATGGGATTCAAAGATGGTTGAACAATATTGCAAATGATTAAAGTTTAAAATGTCAAACAATAGGATATTGGCTTAATGGATATAAGGTTAATTTTTCGTTCTGAGATATGAATATTCTTAGTTGGATAGCCAATAAGATCGTAAACAGACACTTCTGAGTAGTTCCACATCACGACAAAATATCTTCATCTCCAGTGTTTCCTAGCTTTAAGATATTCAGAGTTATGTAGGGAAATTGTATGCTATGTCAATTAGAAGTATTCGAAATAATGTGCTAACTAAGAATTTTTGAAATAGGGTAATAGAAAGGAGGTAGAACTAGATGAGCACAGCTGGACGTATCACAATTGTAATTCATAATAAATGTGTCATCAAATACAAAGGAATGATCAATCGGTACAAATATCACAACCTCTACAACTTAAATGGGAATCCAGATTACTGCATTCCATTGTATATTGTGGAAGATTAGTCCCTCGATAGTTTGTAACACCAGCATACTGTAAAACATTTGATATTTGGATGCATATTTTTCTGTTTAGGCAATCTCATTATAGTTTCTTCCGAGTACAGTTAGGCAGTTCTGCACTGAAAGACTTTATCTACCCTTTTTTCGGGTCTTTGAATTTTGAAGTTGTAACAGAATTGATTGTTGTTTCCAAGGTCTTAAAATTCTCTGCATGAGCATCAAAATGCGAAAACTTTGAAGTTGTGCTTAAATCTTCTCACTTCGATTCTGTAGTTAACAAGTGATGAACCATTTTATTAGTACCGTCTTCAGTGACCAATAAGGAAAACTGTCCTTGAAACACTCTTAAACATTTTTGACTCAGGATAGATAGTCTACGACTGATGTTGAGGAATTCACAGTCTATAATTAAAAATTTATCGTCTCTAGTCAAAAAATTACAACACCCAAGACTAGGAAGTTTATAACTTGTAATATTCAAAATATAAACATTGGAGGGTTTAATTATAGAATTGGGATTTGATGACTCCAGCTTCCCAACTGAAATGATGCATATGATACTACCAGTGTGAACAATAGAACCGTGTAAAGCACCACTGGAAAAATATAATCACTTTCGAATATGAAACGAATTACTGGTAGTTGTGAATAAGGTTAGTTTATGATTATGAGAATCACTCAAATCGATAGGATCCAAATTACAGAGTTTAGTATTACAAGCGGTGAAACAAACAGTAGTTTTACAAATCAGTTTGATGTTTCCCATTTAACCACAATTGAAGCACATAGTACGATGAAATGAACATGAATTATGTGAATCAACTTTACTATAAGACAAACACTGGCCGAAATTGTGCTCACCTTCATTTACTGTTTCGTTATTGTTGAATGATTGTCTTCACGAGAACAGGGATTATCTTTAATTAAACACTTACTCCAATGACTTTGAGTACGAGTCGGATTAA